GCAAAACAACAACGTTAACAAAGCGACAGAATATTATTTCGAATATTCAGAACATCGTGTATTATTGTTGATAATTGGCAATCAATACAATTCGAATAAGTAGATTGTAAAAACAAATAGCAGAAGTTGCGAAGGAAATACAAAAATCAAGCCAAAAATCTCTAGTGATGATCAGATTTTCAAAAAATTTTAAATTGAGAAATCATATGTATTATATTATTATTATGTGATTTCATGCACACACAGGTGTTCTACACCTAGGTGCACTCAATATTAACTTATTGCCAACCTTGATTTTCGTATTTGACTATTAGATAGATACACTGCCGTGTACACTGTATAACTATCCTTATGATTTTGTAATTGTGATTGTATTTATGGCCATCTTTTAGATATACAGGGTGTTTCATAATTGAATGCTGATCCTGAAGGGTGATAATCCTTGGATGATTTTAAGAAAAATTCTTCATGTGAACATAGGTCCGTAACAGATTCGTTTCTGAGATACAGGATGTTGAAATTTAACAAAAAAATCAGTTATTCCCCAATATCTCTGAAACCGCTCTGGCTTTTTTTCTTCATTACAAATACTTAAAAATAGTTACCATAAAATTATAAAAATATTGCTCAGATCTTTTGGTTATCACAATTGTGAAATTATGACTAAGAGTAAAAATCGAATAGGGACAAGCAAATGAATGCATTTTATTTTCTAACTCAAAAACCGTTCGCCGGACGAAAAAAAGACAAGAGACCATTTTCATGAGAAGAGGATAATTAAAAAAATAATATTCATTTGGAAAAAAGACAGTGGCGTATCATTATTTTGATGAAAAATATGAGAGGGTATGTTAACAGGTACGCCACTGATGGAAATTAAGAAATCCTTCATTATGGAAAAAATGTATTTCTATTCATACTCGGCATGTACCAGAACTGAAGAAAAAAGCCAGAGCGGTTCCAGAGATATTGGGGAATAACTGATTTTTTTGTTGAATTTCAACATCCTGTATCTCAGAAACGAAGCTGTTACGGACCTATGTTCACATGAAGAATTTTTCTTAAAATCATCCAAGGATTATCGCCCTTTAGGATCAGCATTCAATTATGAAACACCCTGTATATACAGGGTGTCCCTAGACCAGTGGGACAGTTGAATATCTCCTGAACCAATAGGAATTTTCAAAATATTATAATTTCACATCATATCGCATTATGAGTGCTAACTTCAGGAATGACTATATTTTATACGAGGGGCGCAAGAAAGGCTCACAAAATCGAACATCAATTTTTTCAAATGAAACACCATGTATTCCACTGCATTTTCATATTCTCCTTGAAGAGCTGAGTTCAACGACCTAGCACACTTGGGGTCTAGCGGACACCCTGTATATTTCGTACATTTGTATATTTTGTTGAAATGATTGATTGAAATGATTTATAGGAGTTTATTATACCAATATGATACAACCCTGTAAAATATATCTACCTACGTATAGCTTAAGAATTTGTGGTGACGGGTTTTATTATATAAGCTATAACAATGAGTTGGGATACAACGGTTTTTGGGAATTACTCATGATAAAGATATCGTTTGTGAATTAGTATTGAGAGAACGGTCGATGAATAAACACGTTAATAGTTAATACCAACGAGTCTAATTTCACAAGGTGCTAACAAATACAAGTTATGAGTGCTTAGTTTTTTCAAGTAGAAGAGTTCCTATCAACGTATTTCATAAAATGCATTCTGTTAGATCTACAGTGTAGAAAGTACGAAAAAAATTTGAATCAAAAATTTTTTCACAGAAAATGTCCGGTAAAAAATCGAAAATTGGTCAAACTATCCTAGGTAAGTCAACGCAATAATTCGTTGTTTTTAATTTCAAATGATTCCCTTATATTTCAGATTAATGAAAAGAATATTCTGAATGTAACAAAAATAATTCTTTGATGTGATTCAAACATTGAAGTATATCATTATGAATAAAAGTAAATTCGAATTCACGGGAAAACGGATTGAATGGCTCACGGTCAAATGACAATATTATGATGTCATTTGCTGAAAAAATTCTCAGCAGATGTCCACATCATGTTAGAAATTGAAGTCAATATAATGTCTCAGAAGTCATGAAAGTTAACGGGTCTGAGCATTCTTTCATAAGATCATTGATCAAAAGGTTCAATCTTGGTGTGCCTCTCGGTATTTTCTTTCATGAATATCTGTCATATGAAGGTCTCATCCAGTCGGATATTATCACATTTTACCTCAAAATGATGGTAGTTTTTTATAGGTATATTTGGAAAAATATATATTTTCAGGAAGTTACACGAATGTTTCTATCCACATAGACAAGTTGATCATGTACCTAAATACTACTCCTGGAATAGCCCCCGTATTGATGCTTACTACGCGCGAACGCTGCCAACGAGAAACAAACCCTCGTAAATACATTTCACTCGCCGGTCAGATGGGCCGCGTGATAAGGCGTTTGTGAACGCAACTTCAAAACACCCGCTCTGAGTGAGCCTTCTTATCTGAAAGTTGATATTAGATGACCACGCCCACAAGTCGTGTGCGCGGTGTTGTCAGGTTCACCGCTTCAAATTTAGGGACACCCTGTATTTCATTGCATTATTACATTCTACGTTGAATTCTGAACAAGTTTGATGGATGGTTTTCTATCAAAAAAGTTAATAGTTTTGGACTTATGAACACTTGTAAATAATTATTTCGACTACTTTTGCGCCAGTTCAATGAGAAAATCGTAACAAATGGATCACAATGTATTCCACTTTCCTATCCTAACTTTTTGAAAGCTATCCAATGTTGCAAACTGCTGATGGCACCATGTGTAACTTACCTCGTCGTACCATTTTACAATTGTTAGAGTTGTTGAATCTCACGAAAAACTAGTACAAATGAAGTTGAAACATTTTATTAACAAATAAGGTAGTCCATAAATACAGATCAAGAATCATTAAAAACTGAAGAGATATTTTAATTTATAACTAAAAACGGTGAGTTTTTATGTATTTCAAAAGATGTTCGACATGTCCACCATGCATTTCTTGACACATAAATAGTCGGGTTGTAAACTCTTCCCTAACATTAATCAAGGTTTGAGGTGTTATTTCTGAACACACTTCAATAATTCGACGGCGCAGTTCATCTAACGACCCACAAACTGTCTTAAAAACTACGGATTTCACATAGCCCCAGAGAAAGAAATCAAGCGGTGAGAGGTCCGGTGAGCGAGCTGGCCACTCTGTTGTACCTCGACGTCCAATCCACCTACCTGGATACCTTTCATCTAAGTAATTTCTCACCTCCCGAAAATAGTGTGGTGGCGCTCCATCTTGCTGAAATGTTACATCCAAGTAAAATTCATGTGGGTTTTGCGCAACGATCTCATCGATACTGGGACTTATTGTGTCTTGCAGCATTTGGAGGTATCTGGGACCATTTAAATTTTCTTCCAAGAATATCGGACCTACAATGTGGTTACCTAAAATACCAGCCCAAACATTAATTTTCTGGGGAAATTGAGTATGCCCCTCGCGGAATTCATGGGGATTCTCATCACTCCAATATCTTCAATTCTGGGTATTCACATTTCCATTTAGGTAAAAAGTGCTTTCATCACTAAAGCAGATGTGTTGCAAATAAAATCGATTTGCAACAATTCTTTCTGCCATGGTCTTGGAATTTATTTTGTTTTAAAACCCTCTTTACTGATGTTTTAGAAACATCACATGTCTCAGCTACTTGCTTAGTTGATTGTTGTGGGTTATTTACCATTTCGGCTAGTACTTGAATTTCAACATCTTCCGTAATTATTTTCGGCCTCCCAGATCTCGGAGCATCTTTCACGGTGCCAGTTTGGTTAAATTTTGCCACCAATTTCTGCAGATATTTTCGACACATCGGACGTTCTGGAAACCGTTCATTGAAAATGCGAATAGCAGCGTGGTAATTTCGGTTAGCTTCACCAAATATGATAACGGCTTCAACTTTGTCTGCTACTGAACGAGCCATATTAATCAACAAGAGAAATTGAAAACCGTTTGAAACAAAGTTTTGAAAACCTACAAAATGTCAATGACATTTGGCAAAAACAGATGAGTTTTTTTTCGTTGTCATGGATGAAATAAACGCGCCTAGCGTGCATAGCCTACCTCATTAATTTATTCGTGAACTGGTGCAAAAGTAGTCGAAATAATTATTTACAAGTGTTCATAAGTCCAAAACTATTAACTTTTTTGATAGAAAACCATTTTTCAAACAAGGTTCAGAATTCAACGTAGAATGTAATAATGCAATGAAATACAGGGTGTCCCATTTAAAAAAATTAACTTCTAAGTCACCGTGCTTTTTAGAGACACTCTGTATGAATGAAACTTAAACCATAAAGAGATCGAATGAAACCCTACAACTTATGTATTCAACATTTTTTGTAATATGTAGAATAAAGAAGTTACAGGGGGGGCGACGGACTTTTGGTCCTCACTGTATATTTTCATTTGTATGTATAGAAACGAAGATAAAAGATTCCGATGAATCTAGGGAAATGAAAACTGTTTTGATAACGAAAATGAAGAAATTTCATATAAATATAAATAAAACAGGAAGAATCAATATGAAATTATCTTTTTGTAGAAAATCAGGAGGGGGGGGGGATCGCCCTATCCTGCTCCCCCTAAATGACACCCATACTCAAGCCTCAGGATATTAGGATGATATTACAGTGACAGTAGGTGCAATAACAAATTCAGGATGGTTCAATATTCAAATTGTCTGAAGATTTCTCGGAAAATTCGTTCAATAATTCCTGATGATCCATATTTTTGGTACCTATGTTGGAACTACTTAACGACTACATTCTTAAATTTTGTTCGCCACTGTTAGTAAGAGAAACGTGAACTTATCAGTACCTAACTGATTTTGGAACAAGAATAGATAACTTTTCAGGCGGTTGCAGAAAAAATAATTCTACTCACCCTGATACTTGTAAAACTGTTGGTATTATCCAAGGTTTCAAACACAGTGGACACTTTTCTCGGTAGGCCACTGACTTGGTGTCAATCTGAAAATGTCAAAAGGAAACATGGTAAGCTCAAGACTATTAGATTGTTTGGAAAATTTGGCTACTTCGTGATCTAACGATTCAAAATATTTTCAGCGATGCAGTGTTGTCACTTTCACCAAAAAGTAGCATCATCTTTGATAATTAGAATAAAACACTCTGTATATGATAACATTTTTAGTAATTACTTTCTGAATATTTCTGGCTATTATTTCAATATATCTATCTCTAAAGGTGGTCGATTTGATAATTATTTTCCATATTTTTTGTTCAAAACATAGCGCTATCTAATGTTTATTACTGTGGCGAGTACTGCGGTATATGGTATATCTGAATTCGTAGAAACTTAAAGTTTTGTTGATTGTTTTGTCTATAGAAGTTTGCTCTCGACTATACAGGGTCGTTTAACATTCGTAATTTAACCGCTAGATACTAAACTGGTGAGAAGTCATTTTTAAATGGAACACCCTGTATATTATACATGCAAATGGTTCAACAGAATGTTTTCCGAACCACAACGAATCAACACGAGAACGTTTCTATGATTAAAAAGTTATTTTTGTATCTAGAGCGCGAAATGCTACTTTGGTGATCGAGATCTGAAAAAATAGTCGAGATGACCAAAGTATTTCGCGCTCGAGTTGCAAACAACATTTTTTCTACAAACGTCAAAAAATATAGTTCTAAAGTGAAAATATGCCCATCTTGATTGAAAAATAGTGTTGAACTGGCTTAAAAGGCCTCCCCTTATCCTCCCTAGGTACGCACGATGTTCCACGAACATAATAGGAATTTCCGTTCGTGCCCTCCAAGAGATAGAACAAAGTTATTGTTGAAAATTCAGAAATAAATGATTTCGTGGAAGTTTGCTCGATTAAGAACCATAAAGTTGAAATATAAATATCTCATATATTTTACATAACAATGCGCGAAGTAGGTACTTCGCGCACTGTTTTACTTCGCGCATTGTTTTGTGCAAGGTATCATGGTAACGTAGGAAACTGAAAAAAGTGTCACTTCGCAATTTGTTATCAATGCGCAAACCTTGTCATTTTTTGACGTTTGAAAAAAATAATTTAATTCATTATGGGTCAAGAATGAAATGGAAAAGGCATTTACCAAAGGCTGTCTGTGAGTTGATCATCACAACATTCATATTGTGCTCTAGGCTCAGCTTTTAGAAGCCAGATTATACTCATTCCATTTCCATAAACAATATTTTAATTATATGTCAAAGTTAAAAAAAAAGTTTTTCTTCATTTGGGATACTTTTGAAATTTCCGAAATTTTGCACAGTTTCAGGTAACTCCCTGTAACGATTTTATGTGAAGAACCTTATGTTTTAAAGAATTACGAGATTATAGCTGAAGGACTGGGCTAGCAAACAGTGTGATCCGAATTCAAATCGTTCAAAGCAGAAAAAAGTTATCTATATTTCAACAGAGGCAAAATTTTTGGGTGGGACGAAATTAGTGTTGTGTAGTTTACTTCATGAATTTCCTTGTAGTTCGAATAACTCAATTTTTTTCGAAAAAATGACATTCGACACATATATACTGCACTTTTTTTGACCTGTTGAACTTGTTCCATTTGGAAAAACAAAGTAGTTGGCATTCAGAGAACCCGGAAGTCCACCATATCGGATTGTAATGTGATCGAATCCGAAATGGTTGCTTTATATAACTGTATCAAATTTCAGAAAAATACGTTCTCGAATGCAGACGTTACAGGAGTGGCCCGATACCCTGTGTCACCCGATATATTTATTCAAGTGAGACAAAAATGTTAAATTTGCAACTCTCCTAAGATAAAGGTGTACAGTGCATCCCATTTTGGTTGAGACTGCTAGATTTCTCGGTTGTTATTGAAGATAGGAGATTCAAAATAACCGATACGCCCTCTTACGGATATTCAAGTAACCAATGGAAAGTACATTGCATGTTTGTTTGCTTCAAAAGCTTCCATGCATTTCATCAAAAGTTCAGTAGTCATTGTGATATTTTTTGAATTTGAATTCTTCAGTAGAGTATCTCGAATCATTATTGATCGGTTTCACATGTTATTCATGAAAGTTTTCTTCATTTCATAGAAAATGATGATTTCAATCAGTGCATAATTGAAAGATATTCTCTAAACTTCGAGATTGAATTCAGTTGCATTATATTATCAGAAATGAAGTTACTGAAGGAATTTGAAAAAATGAAATCCTTACTCAAAAGCAAAGTACATAAATATGTTCAATTTTTCCTACTAGAGCACATACATCCAGCTTTGAGGACTTTTTCTCTTTTATATAAACACATGGAAGTAGATAAATCGACTACAATGTAATACCCACGTTGTGAACTCCCACATCATATTATTTTATAGATAATTTCATGGACGATGCTCTTCTGAAATATCAACAATAATTGTTTCTCCCTTGGCAGTCAACACTGGTCTTATGTTTGGAGTGAAAAAATTCCAGAAATAATTTAGATCATAGGTAAATTGTGGATACAAAAGTCGTATTTTTGTTTGTGAGTTGTGGAGTTTAACATTTTCTAGCAAATATTTTTAGAAAAATATCTAAGCCACATTTATCAAAAACTTGTCAACACTTCCTCAAGGCTAAATGGGTACAAATGAAACTGAAAGTGTTTGATACGAGTTTGTTATTTCAGAAGAATAGTAAAAAACATATCTACTTGAAAAATGCCTATCAGTATTTTTTTTGCGATAATGTTGTTATTTAGTTTCGTTTATTTGCTCCAGGCATCCAAATAGCATAACAAATGTTCATAACCTCCATTATTGGGCGGAAGAAAACCCCGTTTAACAAGGGAAACTACTTTCCAACTGAAGTTTTCTGTAAATGTGTGGATGAGAGTCATTGACCGTTATTTAATAGGACCACATTTTTTCCTAAACAATTACCGGTAAATTTATGAACATTTTCAACGGTAATGATCTACAGGAGCTTCTTGTGGATGTTCCTTTCGCCATCAGAGGACGAATGATATTCCAACAAGACGGTTGTCCAGTGCATTATCGGCTGATCGTTCGGAAGTTCCTGGATGAACGTTTTCCTAACCGTTGGATTGGAAGTTCAGGTTCAATAGGTTGACCAGCGCGAAGCCCTGGCCTAACTACCCATGATTAATATGTGTGGGGTCATATGAAAGCACTTGTTTATGAAACCCCAGTAAATCATCGGGAGCTCATACAAATAAGTATAACCGACGCTGCCCTGCACATTCAAAATAATTTGACAACTAGAATATCAAAGACGGAATTAAGAATACGCCGCCGAGTATGTATTCATAATACAGGCTCTTACTTTCATGTAAAATAACAAACGTGTATCAAGCACTTTTAGTTTCATTTGTACCCAGTTAGATAGCTATTGCCTTAAAGAAGGTTCAACAAGTTTTTGACAAATGTGACTTGGATATTTTTCGGGAAACTCTTAATGTCTACGTTTTGGAGATAAACAGAAACATTCAAATATCTCAAAAACTATAAACTTTTGCATAATGCAAAGGGTTAAATTCACCTCTTATATCACCTCCCCTACCACATCTCCAAAGAAAGGTATAGAATTGCCAGTAACCCTGAATAATAAATCACTCATAATTATCCTTTAGATGAACTTCAAAAATCCATGGCCCACTAGCAGAAATTCATCATAATTTAATGTTTAAGCCTGTTTTTAGCTTTTCTGGAAACCCTATGTATAAAATATTATACTTCATTTTGAAGAGAATGAAAATAGCTAATTCAAGGAAATATAAAATACTAGATGTTCCATTGAAAAATATATATCCTATCTCCTAAACCGAACCCCGAAAAAAAAAATAGTACGGCACTGGATTCTACTCAAAATTTTCTGTTCAACATAGTACTTAGTACATGGACGTACTTAGTACAACATAATTCATAACTACTTAGGTATAGAAGGGGTTCAGAAAGTATGATTTCCAAAATCACCCTGTATCTCATAAACTGAAATGGTTATGCAAAATCTGATTAGTCCATCTTGAGTTTCACAATAAAGTAGGACAGGAATGAGCATGCTCTATATTGCAGAACAATCAGGATACCTGTCAGTTTCTACCAAAATGGGAAGCACTGTACAGCTAGAAAAATGTTGATTGATATTTTTCACACATGTGCACTGTAAAATTCAATTTGTTAGTTCACATGCCTAAAATGAGGAATACTTCTAGGTCATGTGTAGAATGTAAAATTTATTTTTATTCAACTGATTTTCACCTAGCTAAGAATTGGTTTGAGCTGCTATGAATAATTTTCAGCCACAAATTAACATCACTACACAAATCTGTAAGAAACAACAAAGGTCTAACAGAAACTGAATCATTCAGCTGAAAAAAGGTTTGTTTAGGTATATGTTCCAATACTTCTTAAATGATTGGATCTTATGAATTATTTTACATTACAATGTGTAAATGTTTGTCAATTGTAGATTTTTCTTCAAGTCATGACTGGGGGTAATTAATGTTAAAAGAGTTGTTGGTTGTTTTCATAATTCATAAGCCATAAGCATCTTCAATATATGAATTTCACAAGACAGGTTAGTACCTATTCCATGTAGAATAGCAATTTTGAATACAGGCTGAACAAACCATTTTCATTTACCTTTCAATATGTTTTTACTTTTGTTATGGTGGATTCATAAGCTCAACTAAACTAATTAACAATCAAATTAAGAATCTTTGGGAGCTGATTGGTCTATTCAAATTATCTTGGACTCTTAATTCAATTATTAATTCTTATAGTTTGGTTGTTTATAAATCCAACATTTTTCAACAAGTAAAATGATTGAACAAACCTGAGAATATTTACTCTAATATTGTATAATAATTCAGAAGCATAAAATATCAGAAATCGAAATGGTACAGCATCATTGAGTCTTTTCCATTCAATAGAAATTTTGTAGTTGTAACTTGAATATTTATTTTTCTCATGTCTCCAGAATTCTCTCTTGAAAAACAATTTCT